GAGGTCAGAGGGTTCGGGGAACAGAGCATGTGGGAGCAGGCCATTTCCCCCATAACTTAACGGGAGGCAGACGGCTAATTTTCATTTGCAAAAGAAAACAATCCTCAGACAAATAGCTAGTATGGGGCTCAGTTTGCATGGGCTGCGTTGTTGTATTTTTTCCCACTCCCCGAGGCGGGGCTCAGGCAGGGCTCAGAAAAGACGCTAGACGGGTTTGACAATAAGCCACCATTTGCACAGATTAGCAGAAGATGCCTGGGGAAGCTGTTTGCCTGAATGTGGAACCCACATGAACTTGGCACTCAGCGGGGCTGGCTGGAGATCCCTGATGTGGGGCTGAGGCCAAGTCTGCTCAGACCAGGACACCTGGCCTCCGCTGCCAGGCCCGCAGTCCTGGGCTGGCATTTCCGCCTGGCCGGGGGTGGGGGCTTGAAACCAGCCCCCGCTCCTCCCCGGGCCTCTGTTTTCTCCCCCGGACACTGGGTACAGTCATGCCCCCCTGGCCCGGCCTTCCTCCCGAAGCTGGATGGCTGGCCTGTCAGTCCCTAGACGTGTAAAGGCTTCGCAAGCTGTAGAGTCCGTAGCACAGCCCCTGCCAAAGCCTTCCCTCCTGATGATGGCCTCCTGGCCTGTTCCCTGCTTCCCCAGCCTGAGTGGGGACGACATTGGTGACGTCGGCTGCTCCTGCCTTGCCAAGGCCCTCGAAGCCGCCACCAGCTTGGAGGAGCTGGGGTGAGTTGCCTGTCCCTGCCCCCGGCCCCAGAACACGTTGGTGGGGGGCAGATGACAAAAGCAAGAGGCTCCTTGAAGACACTCCTCACGTATTGGTGACTCTCATCGCCCTCACCCCCTCCTGCGCGGCATAACCCCAGCCGTAGGGCCCGGGAAACCCAATGGTAGGACGTGAGCGTGTTGATGGCAGCAGGAGGCAGTGAGGGCAGACATCAGGCAGGACGTCATAAACACGGGACACGAGCTTGGATTTGTCACCCAACATAGTGGGAGGGCCTTATCACTGAGCTGAGGCCTTTCTCCAGACTTCAGCCTCCTCCTGGTCTGGGATGGGGATGGGGATGGGGACCTACCAGCTGGGGGGCAGGCGGATGCTTCCGGTTCTGCTGTTTTCTCTCCAAGCTTGAGCCACAACCAGATTGGAGATGCGGGGGCCCAGCACTTGGCTGCCGTCCTGCCCGGGCTGCCTGAGCTCCGGAGGGTAGAGTGAGTGCCCAGCCCTCCCCACAGGGGCCCTCGGGGGCCGCCCCCTGGTCTGAGGAGACCCTGGCTTCTGCCTCCGGCTGAACTTCAGCTTCAGTGCCCAGCCAGTGGCACTGAGTTACCTCCCGGGCTTGCTCACGTTGGGGCCTCGAGCAGCCCAGCCCCTGCCCCTCTCTGGGCCTTTCTGCCCCACGGGGCTGGGAGGGTGTGCAGTGGGGATGCTCTCTTAGGGCCCCAGGAGATGGGGGGGTGGAGGAAATGGGGGGTCCGAGGGTCTGATGTCTGCCCCCCTCCCTCCACAGCCTCTCAGCGAATGGCATCTGCCCGGCTGGGGGAGTGCGGTTGGTGGAGTCCCTCGCCCTTTGCAAGCACCTGGAGGAGCTGATGTGAGTGTGTGCCCAGGGGGACTGGCCTCCGCCCTCTGGGTCCCCAAGGCCCACCTGGCCCTCATCTCCCCCGGGAGGTACAAGGCCGGGGTCTGAGGCATCCAGCCAGGTGCTCAGCCTCATCCCTTCTCTTCCTCCAGGCTCGGCTGCAATGCCCTGGGGGACCCCACAGCCCTGGGGCTGGCCCGGGCGCTGCC